ATTTATTTTGTATGAGATGATTCTATATAGATGCTATCACTATCATATATGTAATTATATTGATTCTTATTTATATCTGATTATTTTACTTGAGTAGTCAGGTAATATAACTGTGCCAGCATAAAAAATTGCAATTGTGCTAATAAGCAGATAATTGTCAAAGATTTCTAAATGTGAAGTAGTATAAAACTATACATACATATATTTGTGTGTTTTATATATATGTATGTATAGTATGATACACAGTGCACAAACAAATTTTTAAATTATTATATAAAATAGCAGTTGCTAAAATATTTAGTTAAATTTTATATTGATTTTACATCTTATAAATCAATTTTTTATGCAATTTGTACTTATTTATTCATCAAGAAATTTTTATAACTAATATATATTCCATATTCAGAATAATTTTATACTTAAAAAGTATAAAAATTATTTCTAGCATTTGCAAATCTTTATATAAACTTTAAATAATTATTTATTCCTTTAAGATATTTGTAAATTTTTTTTTGAAAATAAATAGAAATAAATGTGAACATTATGTTATTTCATTTTTATATATGATGAACTTTAAAGTTTGTTAGAAATTTAAATATGTTTATAAATACATATGTATGTATAAAGATAAGAAAATAATGTGTGTGCATGAGAAAAATGAATTATTAAAATAACACTATGTAGTGCTTAAATAAGTGCACTGTGCATATTTCATTTTTTAATTTTTTATTTATTTATTTACTTTTTTTTTAAGTTCTTCACATTACGTATATACTACTTCACGTTTTCTATAATGAATGTAAAATAGTGTATTTCATATTGACATAAAGCATCTTTTCAGCTGTGATGTTAACAATAGGGAATTCATACAGAGATGCAAAACAAAAAGGGAATTAGTATAATAGAGATGAATTTCGTGTTATATTTATTATAATGACAATTCAGTATTATGATATATACCAATGTTTTTGCAAAGAATTCTATTAGTTAACATCATTGCTAACAAAATGTGAAAAGAAACTATAAAACAACATACATTTAAAAAAATTACAATGAGGCACAAAAGTAGTAGGAGGAAAAGGGCAATGAATAATATTTGTGTCCAAAATATATTGGAATCTTAAATAACCAAGAATTGAATCTGAGATTTCATGCAAGTATACGTGTGAAAAAAACTAAAATCATGAAAAATAAGATGATAACAAAGTATAGTTATCAGATGATTAATTATAACATTATTGCTACCATTACTGCTGCTAGTGCTATGATTACTATGATTATTATTATTATTACTACAACTACCATTATTACTATAACTATCATAACTATTATTATAATTACAGCTAATATCATTACCAGTATAAATTGTCCTTGTAATTTTTATATGCTAAGTATATACTTTAATAGGATAAATGAAAAAGAATGGGAAATGAGTCACAATAAATGTAACATAATAGCCCTACTTGATTTAAGAAGGACATAAACTATGTTAACTGAACTATGAATTATAAATATTGTATAAGACGATAAATAATAATTATTATTATCATTATTATAATTATTATTAATTGAATTAGAAAATTGTAATCTACCCATCAACCATTTTCAAATAAGGGAGATTTAAGTCTGTAATTCATGTATAACAAAAATCAAGCTGTACAATGTTGTTGTTTATTGCTGTTGTTTTTTACTATCCTTAATCTTATTATTTGAAAAAAAAATATTTCGAAAAAGAATTATAAAAATTAAACAATTTTTTAAATATATTGAGAATATAAATTTATTACATATTTATTGGGACTTAAATTATAATTATAATTATAAAATAATTCTTATATTAATATTCAAAAATTGAAGTTTTTGATTTATCAACATAAAGAGTATAACCTCAAAATATAAAATATGTTGTTATTTTTAAGAGTATGGTATTTTGTATTACTTTTAATTAATTTCACGCAAATTATTGTGGCAAATAAATTTTGTGACAAATCAGATGAATATGAGGAAACTGATAAATGCAATATTCAATTACGTTACTCACGAAATCGGTTTGAATTTACTTGCTTATAATAAATTTATTATTTATATTAAAATCAATATTTTTATATAACAATTTTTCAGTTACATACTCTATGATGTTAATTCTCCAGAGGGATTTAATCTAAGAAGAGATGTTTTTATTCGTATTGCAGTTTTTATAAAAATTTTAATCAAACAAGAAACAGAATTTAAATGGCAATTAGTATTGCCACCATGGGGTAATATTTAAATACATATTAAATACATTAATAATTTTTCACTATTTTAATTTTATCCATTTATTTTTTATTCTGTTTTTGTAGGCAACTTGTATCATTGGCGTAGTAAAAATATAGGATTTCAAACACAATTGCCTTGGAATTTGTTTTTTGATGTTTTAAGTTTACAAAAATATATACCTGTTATTGAAACATATCAATTTTTACAAGGTATATAATTTTATACATTTAATTAAGGTATATAATTTTAATATATTTAATCATAAAATCAATAAAAACTTAATTTTTTCAGAATATCCTTCAGAAAATAATCAAACTCATCTTGATGTTGTATATATTTTACAAAATGATGAAGAAATGTTCAAGACAGGTATATTTGAAGATAAGAATAAAATAATAAAATGTAATGATAAATCATTACAATTTCATAAAATGAAATCTGAAAAATATGTTGGACATTTTTGGGGATACAATAATATAACTTCTAAAGCTGTTAAATGTGTTATATTTCATGGAATGATATCAAATCTTAAACAAAATCTTAAACCTAATATTTATAGGTAAAAAAATATATTATTTATTTAACAATAATATTTATTACAACTAATTTAATTATTATTGTATAGATCTGTAATGTTTGATCATATGGAAATTGCATTACATGATTTCTATGGTACAAAAGAATATTGGAAAGCTAGACGTAGTATGCGATATAATTCTGAGTTATATCATATTGCTAATGAATTTCGAAAATCCTTTTTTAATTCATCAAATAAGTATGATAAAACAGAACGACCGGATGATTGGACTAAAGAAAAAGTATTTAATTTTTGCTTATATCAATAAAAATGCAAACTAAAAAATAATTTTTTAATTATAGAATAGAAGAAATGCAATTGGAGGTCCTTATTTATCAGTTCATTTAAGAAGACGCGATTTTTTAGTTGGTCGTTCTTTAACAGTACCAACAATAAAATCTGCTGCTTTTCAGTTAAAAAATAAATTACACGAACTTCAATTAAAATTTTTGTTTGTTGCTACAGATGCTACTCAGAAAGGTAAATTATCTCTATTTTATAATGCTTGGATGTTTATTAATCATATTAATTTATCTAGAATTCAATGAACTCAGAGAATATCTGTCTAATTATACAATTCTTAGATTTATCCCATCAGATTATGTATTAAACAAGTTTAAAGATGGTGGAATTGCAATTATTGATCAAATAATTTGTTCTTATGCTAGGTAAAACTTAATAATAATATATTTCATTTCTTATATTATATATAAACAAAAATAATGCACTATGCATGTATTCATTTTTAGATATTTTATAGGAACATATGAATCAACATTTACATTTAGAATACAAGAAGATAGAGAAATCATTGGTTTTCCTACTAAAACAACATTTAATTACTTATGTAGAACTAAGGAGAAATGTAATTTTAATGGGCAATGGGAAATTGTTTGGTAATGTATAAAAATATGTATAAATTATATTAGATAATAAAATCAAATAATTAAATTAAACATATGTTTTACCAAAAATAATATATAAGTACAATCTGTTTTTATATAGTTATATATCACTGATATTAATTATTTTTCTTTATTATTGTGTTAGCTTATCATTGGTTTACCAATTAATTCTTGTTCTCGACGAATTTCCTGCTCTCTTTGTTGTTCTCTATTCAAAGCTTCTTTTTGTATTATTTGTTGCAATCTTAATGCTCGTTTCTACATAAAAATAATTTATGTATTTCATAAATAATATTAAAAATATCTATAAAATAATAGATACAACTTACTTTTAATTTGAATGTCCTCTCATGAATAGAAGCCATTTCTTTTTTCATTAAAATTAATTTATTTTGACCAATTTTAATAGTTTGGAACTGTAATATATAATAATATATTTTTTTATGTATTTTATATATTACTTTTTTATATTAAAAATATATATTTTTTCACCTCGTTTAAAATATCATAGGCTAATTAAATTTATATTTAAATACTTACCATATCATTTAGTTTAATATCATCAAAAACATCTTGAAATTTTTTGTTTTCAATTTGCATCTGATTGAGTAAAGTCTCTTGCTTATTTCTAAACAAAAATAATGTGGAATAGAAAGATAAAAAATATTTATGAATCTTTAACTTACTTTACTTCATTAAGTTTTTTTTCAGTTTGTTCCCATTGTACTTGATATTGATTTAAAAATCCTTCAGCTAATTTCTTTACAGCCTCTTTAAAATCTAATTCATTTTCTTCTCTATAAAATTTAAATAAAAAAATTAATTTTTAAATGAAAAAAATTTAAGTAAAAGTAATGTATATTATTATTATTATTATTATTATTATTATAAATATTAATTATGAGTATATAAATATAAATTAAGTAATTTATAATTATTTACAAATAATTATAAAATAATAAATAATGAGAAATAGGTTACCTATTGCGTTTTTCAATTTCTGATTGAAGTTCCCTTGCTTCTGCTTCTTCCATATCTGTCATCATTTTTTATTTTGAGTTTTATTATTATTATTATTCAGTAAATTATATTATGTAAAAATTTATTTAAATTTAATAAATAATATTTATTATGAGTTTGACATTTTGTCACATCAATATAGTTTAATAAATTTGAAATATGTCTACTATCTTTATACATAAATTTTAGTATCGATATTTCTTTCTAGTATATGTTTCATGCTTATGAACTTAACTCGAACATAACCAAGAAAAAAGTTGTAAAGAAAAATATTTATTGTTTATGAAGTGGAATATGTTTTTAAAATCTAATAATAAATTTGATGAACGTTTTTATCTGATATGGAGCATTTTCCAAATAGAAAATATATTATGGTAGCTCTTGTGTGTGAAATAAACACTGTAGCAGTGCTTCTAAATATAGGATTTATTTTTAGGTTGGAGCTAGCCATAGTTTGAATCAAGAATTTAATCTAAAACTGCATTTCTAGACAGTTTTATAGTAGGTGTGAAAAATTTCTATTTCTGAATGACATTTTTAGTCTAGTCTTTGTTTTTTGCTAATTTTGAATTTATATAATATTTGATCAATTAAATATCAAAATTTTAAGTTTTTTGCATTAAACATATAAAAGTTTTTTTTTAAATGTCTTGTTTGTATAAAATAACTTAAACAATTTTATAGGTGAATATTAGAAATGTAGAAGATACAAGTGAACAGAAATATATATTTTTTTACAGTGATAAAAATGGCAAATGACTTAATAATAAAAGGTAAAGATAGATTACAAGAAATTAGCATGAAATTAGAACAGAGCCATTTAGTTTATCTACAAACAGATGACAGTCCATTAAAATTACAACAACGTCATAAACTAGAAGGTAAATATATAAAAAATAAATATAAACATCTTAAGTATATGAAATTTTATTAATTTTTTTCTATTTTAGGTTTTATTAAAGAGTATCTTTGTTTTGTTCCAAATGAAAATAAATATATATTTCAAGAAACTGCAGATATATTGCACAGATCAGCAGCTACATTGCAAGATTTTAGTGGATATAGAGCTGCAACTGCCTGGAGTGCTATTTCTTTATATGCTGCTAATCTTTTGGCACAACCTTGGAGAAGAGAATATAGAACATTAAGAGTTAATATTTTTGTATTTTCTCTTATATCATTTTTCAAGATTATGAAATAATAAATTAATTAATTGCTTTCATGTTAGACTTATAGTGGATATTATAAACATGAAGTAGAAGCAAATTTAATAGGAGCAGAATTAATGTTTGAACAAATGGGATATAAACATACAGGATTGGGAATACTCACTTTGGAAGGTCCTATTGATCCTGATAAAGTATCCAGTGTAAGCAGAGATGCAATAGTTGCTTTTGTTGAATGTCAGGTAAAAAATTTATTACAATATATAAATATATATTTTTGTAAAAATAAATTAATTTAATTTAAATTTCAATTTTAAATGTAGATTTTGAAACAAATATGGGAGAATGTTTCACAAAATTATGGTATCTCATGGTTAGAAGTCTTAGAATTTCGAGAAAACCATGTTGGTACACCAGAACAAGCAATTAGAGCATTAAATTTCCGTTTCCTTGAAAAAATGCATCAAAGTCGAACAAAAACAGAAAATTATAGGGATTATCATTATCCGCAAAATACATGTGTAGATGCATCGCCGTCAATACCTTATCATATTATGCCTCCTAGTTATAACATACCATTGCCTACTTGTCAGTCAGATTATAGATATATCGAAAATACAAATTCGATACCAGGAACATACAAATATTTTCAACCAGTGGATTATGGTTTTGGAAATCGTTGTAGTGCCTATGGTTGTTTACCACATGGTAATAAATATTTAACTGGAGTCAATCCTTATTATACTACAATGCCAGGATATACAAGAGTACCAACGGGTAGATTAATTGAACTTGATATGCCTGTTTCTGTTGCAAATTATGATAAACTTCACAATCGGAAGATGCCCCATCGAATATCAAATTTGGAAGAAATAGATTTTTATAGAAGACAATCTAACGATGGAGATCATTATGATTGCGGGAGAATTGATAAAAAGTCTGCAAAATCAGGCAGTGAAAAAAACAATTGTGATTCTTGGGACTTTGTATACAGAAATTTAGAAAGTTTAGGCTATTCTAAAGATCTTGGTGATCGAGAAGATATTTTACATAAACGAGAGTTTGATTCTCGATTGAACAAACAAAAATCATTTAAACAAAATGATAGGGATGAAATACATAGTATACATCGTTTTGAAAAAAGAAAAAGTGGAAGAATCGATATGAATGAAATTGATTCATCTATAACAAATGGTCGACATCATCATCACGACACATTACCTTTTAAAAAAAAGTCTTCTTCCTTTGACTTAATGGATTCTAATAGATATCACGATGTATCTTTAGAAAGTCATTTATCTTCATATAATAAAGAAAAAAGATATGATAGTCAAACACTTCCAATTCAACGTTCTCATCGATCAATGGATCAAATTGTAAAAATTGCAGACACATTAAAAAATTTAGAACTTTCTCAAACAGAAACAAAAAATGAGATAAAAAATGGAAGTATGAATTGGAACTGTGCTACTTGCACATATCTCAATTCTTCATTAAAAGAAATTTGCGAAATGTGTGGAAAATCTAGGCATAAAGGAAATGAAGATAAGCCATTAGCAAGTGGCGGAAAAGAATGTCCACGATGTACGTTAGTAAATGAGAAAAATGTGTCAATCTGTGATGCTTGTGGTATCAGTTTAAAAGATTCACCTACTTATATTTAGATATTTAATTATTCAAAACAAATCATTACATTATTTTTTATACAGTCAACGACATTTGATTAAATAGTGAAAATATTTTATTAATATTATTTTAGATTCATCCTTAAATAATTATATTCTTTACTCTATATTTTTATTATAACTCTAATGAAACTATACAAATTTTAAGGAATCATTTATTTAATAAACATAAAAATATTTATGTTTTATAGAAAAAATTATTCATTTTATGTTCTATTAATTAATTGCTTTTAATAATTATAATATGGAAAAATTCTTATCATAGAAACTTTTGTTAAAAAATACTTTGTTATAAAATAATATTTTGTTAAAAAATATTTTATTATAAAATAATTTGTTATATATAAAGAAAAAAATTTATAAGAAATATTCTGAAGGAATGGAAGAAATTCAAATGATAAAGAATAAAAAAAATATTTAAATAAGAAAATAGTTAGAAAAATAAATAGAAATGTTTATTATTCATTCTTTTAAAAAACAAAGATAATAGATATTCAAGTAATAATAAAAACGTAATTATGTAAAGAAAAGATAAGATAGATAAGAAAAGATATCTTCGAATTTGAATTGTTGTTTTGAATACAAATAATTCTACAATATAAATTATATAAATTATATATCAAAAAACATCTATTATTAAAAGAGAAAGAAAGAAAGAAAAAGAATCATGTTTGTTTGTCCACTATAAAATAATAGATTTGAATTTCTAAATTCAAAAAAAAAAAATTACATGAATATCTAAATATTTTTATGAAAAGAAATATAATTTATATGATAGATATTTATTTTATTATTATAACTAAAAAGTAGGAAAAAATTTTATCTTATAAATAATATAGAAGAGTATTTATATTTGAGTTATTTATAAATTATGAAAGGATGGCAAGATGCAAAAAATACCTTGAAATATTGAAATCAGTTAAAGTTAAAATTTTTAATTTAATGAATTAAATTTTATTTAAAAATAATATTAGATATTTCAACATAATGCTGTCCTATAACTAATTAAAAATTAAAATGATATTAAAGAGAATAAGAAATAAACTATATAAATTGATTGATATTATCATTAGATTTAAATATAATTAAAAATATTTACACATATCTTAAAAAATTTGCACGAATAATCGTCAATTTCAATCTTATATATATTATGTTATAAATACTATAAAAATTGGGGTATAAAAAATACTATAATTTTATCTATAATATACTGTATCAATATCATATCACACCAATATATATCATAATATATCAAATCACATCTTCCAAATTATAAACAAAAATAGTGGACATATAAGATATTGATAAAGTATATTTATTATAAAAATATTATTTTTTTTTATTTTATTTATCATTTTACTGTACATTTATTATATGTTTATTCAATAACATAATATCTTTTTCTATAAAACATGAATATTTTTATACTAAACTAATTGCCTAAAATAAATGAGTATAATTTCATTAAATAGTTTATAAGTATAGAAAAATAGAATATATTAATTTGAAGTTTAATTCAAAATAATATTAAAAAAATATTATTACATTTAATCCTTAATCAAGTATCGCGGATTGTATATCTAAAATCAAAGAAAAAAAAATGGTGAGTATATTTCCTAGATACTCAATATCGTCCTAATAAAAATATTGAAAATATTTGAAAAAAAAAATGTTAATACTTATAGTGCTAATAATAGCTAATATAAGTAATAACAATTTTTGTCTTTATTTAGAGAAAAATTTCAAAGTTTATTATTTTATTGATGATATTGTTTAAATTTAGAATTTCTTAAAACAAATAATAAAAATATAAAATTATTTATTTGAAGTTTTTTGAGTAGACTTGTGATATGGATACATTAATATTACAATAGTATTATTATATTATGGTGGCCTATTACTTGTTTGAAGAAAAATAAAAAAGAACATAAATTTTTAAATGAAATTTATTTAAATGAAATAAAGATTAATTTTAATAAATATTCTTTATTAATACATACTTATTTTTTATTTTAATTTTTACAATTAGAAAGATATTATTGATTTAATTTGATGATATTTGCATATATATAAAAATTAAGTTAATAAAATTATTACCAATAATAGCCTAAATAGTTTATAATGTAAAAAAATTATATAAAAGTTATTTATTATATACAACATGTATATGTATCCATAGCAAAAACTCAAAAACTTATATTTTAAAAAAAAATGATATATTAATTCTATTGGAATGTTATTTAGAAACCAAATGTTGAAGTATATTGTATAATACATATATATGTGTACATATATACACATATAGTATAAAATTATAATTTATTAATTAATAACTTATAATTTTTATTTAAACTTTTGTAACAGAATTAAAGAAATATTAAATATGATAAAAAATGTTATTACAATTAGAAATATTATATGTTATTTTACTTAAATTAAAGAAAAAAAGAAATATTAATATTATTTCTCATTTTATAATAAATAATATCTTATTGAAAAGATAAAAGAAAAATAGATATCAATGTATTTGTTATTTAAATCATTTTTTATTAATTGGACAATATTGCTGTAGAATCATAATACTTGTGTACCTTTAGGAAACAAATATAAATTACATGATAATTAATAGAGTGCACAGTATACAGATTAATAAATATGTAATTTATATCTATATATTTTATCAGTATGCAATTATTTCAATTTAAAAATTGTGCAATTGTTAATTTTGTACTAAAATTTATTTAATATAGTTTAATATTTATTTATACATTCCTAATACATCATTTCATGGAATGATTTAATATACGTTGTTTTTGGAATTTTATTTCTACATTATTCGAATTAGTATTATGTATTACTTATTATTTATAATTAATTAATTATTCTTACATATAATGATGTTATACTTTAATTTATTGAAGTTGTTATAACAGATAAATTTTTAAAGCTTTTTAGTATAAATTATATTGTAAGAAATAATATGTTTTAAAACTTGTAAACATTTCTTCAAAATTTATAAGTTAATAAATTTGTTATTATCTTTAAAATATTCTTAAATCTAAATTTTAAAATTTATAAGAAATTTTAAAGTAATATATTTCGATAAAAAATGTTCCATTCAAACATATATAGACTGTTTGAATATAAAAATGACTTTACTAAAATCTACTTTTAATATTTATGAAAGTCTGATATTTTAATGGAAATAAGAGAAAACATCTAATATTTTTTCATTGAATGCACGTAGAAAAAAAAACATTTAATATAAAAAAAAAATAAATATATGTCGTACAATAGCAATTGTAATACATTGCAAGCTATATGTACATTGTATTATATTCTATTATGTACAAATAATAAATAATATTTAATATAGAAAATATGCAAAATATTTATTTTTTAAATTTTGAAATCCATTAAAAACTAACTAATGTTTTACTAATGTTAAAAATGTGTAATATTATGCATTATTTTTAACTTATTCATATAATTCACAATTCTTATTTATAACAAAAAACGCATTATGTTAATATATATATTTGATTTATATTATATATAAATATTTTATTTTATATTCTTAGAAAATTTTTCTAATATTTTTAAAGCAGCTTGATGAATTTTCCGATTAAGTTTATCTATAAAAAAAAAAATTGTTAAAATTATATTTGATCAAAAACAAAAAGACTAAAATCGAAGAAATACTTACAAATTTTATGATTTCCTTGTATTGGAAATTTAATTGGTAATGTTAAAAAATTTTCACATATAAAAACATAAGGACTATCATTACTTTCTCCTTCTGGATAACATTTTTTATATTCATCTTGAGGTAGAACATCAACGACTGTTACGCATCCTAATAAACAACTAGTTGGATAAATTTCAGGAAATTTTAATTTTTCTGTAAAATATTTATATAATTACTATAATACATACTATACAGAGCATTTTAAAATTAATGTTAAGAATTGACTAAGTTTATAAAAAAAAAGTTTGAAATTTTCTTTATAATTAAAATTGAAATTTTTTAATTGATACTAACCATTTTTTAAAACACGATAGTATTGTTCTACATTCAAGATTTCTTCTCTAGTTGGTGTTTTGGATGTTGCAGCAATCCATAATCTTCCTCTATGTGATGAATACCATGAACGACCTTCATGACTGTAACAATATTATAATATTTAAGAAGATAGCATATTAAATCTTAATTTGTTTACAAAATTATGATTTTACATTTTTATTCCAGAAACTAATAAAGATGCATAAGGTTGATGCATGCTTAAACATAAACCAAGATCAGACATTTCTAAATATTCTTTATCTTGAATAATGTTTTTTGTTTTTGAAGAAATTTTTGTTATTGATGTTCGTAGATTAGCTACACTTGATCCTATATACTGTACAATAATAGTTCAATATTATTTTTTTCACATAATAATAATATTAATATATATATAAAAGTTTTTAAATAAATATTTTTACCATTGGATGTTTAAATTCTATGTTTGGACAAACATTACTAATTTCAAATTCATTGAATGACTCAGAAATATCTTGTAACTGTTCTTCACTGAATTCAAAATCTTCTTCAACTAAATTCTCTTCAATTATTCTACCTGTGAAATCTAAGATTGCATAAATTTTTTTATCTAAATGAGACATATGCTTCTTTTTATTTTTTTGTTCTTCTAAAGTTCGTAATTTTTCTCTTTGTTCAGCTGTGAACCATATATTATTTGATTGATAATAATCACATTCGTCATCAATTACTTTTGTGCCTTGTATTCTGTAAATTATTATAATTATAATTTGATCTTTATATAAAAAAATAATATAATATATTATACCCATTACGATCATATTCCAAAAGTTTGTCTCTCTGTTTTATTGATTCTTCTAGATTTTTATTAGGTTTTTGATTCATCAATTTATTGTATAATTGATCACCTTGTTTAGTGTTACTAGATAGAATAGTTTGTTCTTTTTCAGAACATACAAGTTCTCCACAAAAAAAACAAGGACCAGCTCCTTCTTGAGCACAGACTATTCTACCACAATTAAGACAATTATTAATTAATGTGTGTCTCTTTGCTTCACAATCACATTTGTATCTACCTAAAATGTTTTTATATTATTTTTAATATTATATAATAATTTATCAATATTAATATTACATAATAATCTAGCATTTTAATATATAAAATACCTTTTAATAAAATTTCTCTATTTTTACCATCTTGGGAATATATACTTTCAAATTTAGGTTTTTTTTTTTCCAGCTTTTCTACTTTTACATTTTCTTGTATCTAAATAAATAATATTTAATCTTAATCTATAGTATAATAATCATAATAATTTAATATAAATAATCATAGTAATCATTAGTTATAAATTTAAGATAAAAGATATTTAAATAACATGACAATATACCTGTTTATTTTCTTTATATTCTTTTGATTTTACTTTTCCTTTTTTTTTTTCATTTTGCCTTTTTTTTCCACTGTCCATATCATCTTCTTTTTTGCATTTAGCTTGATCTTTAATTAAAGCTGAAATAGCATTATAAAATAGTAAAAAATATTAAATGATTTAATTATAAATAATAAATATAAAAACCTTGTTGTTTCTTGAAATCTGTGATAAATTGTCTATGCTTTCCATTAGTATAATCTAAAAAAGATCGCATATAATCATCTAAATCTCTTTCATTTTGTATTTGCATCATATATCTGAAAGAAATGCATGATATATGAATTATTATAAAATATTATGATTTATACAAGTGAATATTATAGTTTCATTGTATTATAATCTACTTACTGTACTATTTCGTTTGTTACTGGAAAATCTAAAATTTGAGATAAATTTTCACAAATCCAATCTTCCATTTTTGCAAAATTATTAAAATAATAACCTAAAAAAATTAAAGATATTATCCAGTTACTTGCAAGCGTAAAATTAATAATTGATTCGAGAGCAGAATTGACGAGCACGCTATCCCCTCCACTAAAAATATTTCAATTCTGTAGCAAAATACGTCACGTGATTAGAATTTCTGTCAAAGCCAAACGTTGTAAGCCATCATGTCACGTGAGGATAATGTGACGTCACATATTCTCTTTTTGCAGAAATTCGCTGCAGGGGAATTGAGCCACTTTTAGATAGAGGGTGTACCACTACATATGAAATTAATTTGATGTTTAAATATTTAAAACATGCACATTAAGCATATAATATATATTATAATATATAATATGTATATTTTATATTACAAAGAATATTTTAATCTCTATCAAATTTGCAATTTAAATATAATTTTTCTTTTTTTTGAAGAATAGGAAAATTTCTAGAATAGTTTTTGGAATCTTCTTATTTAAAATATAGTTTCTGTATTTGAATTTAATTTTATATCAAATTAAAATGTACCAATATATCTATAGATAAAATTTTTTAAAAAACTTATATATCTTAAGTTTAATTTAAATTTAATTTAAATAATTTTTGTTAAATTATAATAACGATATTACTTTTTCAATGTAAATGTAATCTTAATCATAAATATGATCATAAATATAAATTTCATATATATAAAAATATATATAATAATAAATATAAAGTAATAATATAATATATTAATAAGAAATAAAAATAAAATTAATTTAAAGTAAAAATTCTCATTAAAATTTTATATTTTCTAGATGTTTGTATTATGGAGTTTAAAAAATGCGTAGATTAACGTAAGGCCTTCGAAACATTTAACAAACGGATCTTCCTGCAGTTAAATTTGCATAGCCAGTCGTTTATACGTCGACAATCATGTATTCGTGCACATATGAGCTGAGTTTCAATTTTTGCTGGTGTTATATAACAATTACTGATACTTACCACAACTGATATCATCGCATTTCATATATCTATTTCCATTTAATCATATTGGTATTTTTATTAATCATATTAGTATTTTTATTAAAATTTATTATATGGTATTATAGATATTTAATCATTATGAATAAATTTTCTTTTAAAATTTTTTAGAAATATAATTATTCTTATTCTATTCGTTGTTGAAAACAATCTAATATTTTTTTTTAGAAGAATTATACATAAGTAGTGAACCAAATATTAAATAAGGTAAAGAAAAATATAATTAAAAAGGAATAAGAAAAAAGACATATATTTGCATTTGTTGTATAAAGCAAGTAATTTTTCATTTTTTAATTGCTTTCCTTTACTAAAGAAGAAATCCTTGAAATTTTTAAAAATATATTCTAAAATTTTTTTTATTCTTTAATCCGTAATATAATTCGAGATAGCAACAATAGAAATTACAATTTAAAATTGTTGTATGTACTTAGACAAGACAATATAAATAGGTCATATCATGAATTGTTCTATTAAAATGAATCACAATATATTGTAATTTCATTTCACTGAGAATATATCAAAATGTATGTATATATAATATAAGAAAATACATTAAAATATATTACATATATCAAAGAAAATATATTATTAAAATGTATTAAATATTTTATAATATAATAATTATTATATAATTTTACAATATTTCTTTTCATGCAAAAACGATTGAAAAGGACTAAATAACATATATTATGATTATTAGTTGTTCGAGCCATGTTATTAACCTGTTAAATGATAAAAGCTTCTTGTACAATGAACTTTCTATATCATTCTGCATCGGGATCATTTGATAATTACTTTCAATCAACGGTTTTATTTAGACGGATGCTGTTCAAAGGCATCTTCATTATTCGCACATATAATACACGAATTATACTATAATAAATCCGAATGATTTCAACAGATTCACAGTTCTATCTTGTTTCTTAGTTATTTATCTTATAATATTAAAACAATTATTATAATATTTATAATATAATATTATAATATTTTCTAATTTATATTATTATTAATATATATTATTATTTAAAAATAAAATTATATTTGAGGAATAACAATTTGTTTTTCTAATTGATGATTTTATTATAACAAAAATTTAATATATTGAATTTTTTGCAATATTACTATTTATCTATCAATTGGGTCATCGTAAATATTGCATCAAAAGCAAACTGGTCTCGATAACGTGTATCTTATCAAGTTGATTCGATATGATCGGTGAAGAATTCAATCGAGATAGAATGGAAGATAAGAATAATGTTTCTTCTATCCTTTAAATCGTGATAGAACAAAAATGTTATTTAAAATGTATATCTTTATTATTTCTTTGCTCATAGTCAGCCATTAAAAAATAATATTGACAAAATATTGTTATTATCTTATAAGATTTTAATAATTATTTAAAAAATGTTGGTTTCATGTTATTATTCATGTTAATTATAATAGAATTTTCTTTCAAGATATTTCCTTTTATCTTTTTATAATTAATGATGCATATAAAAACAGTGATATCATATTATCATCATCGATGAAAATACATGGCAAATTGTTTGACGAAGCACGTTTAACGAAGTTTGTTTGTGTTACTATATTTTTTCTTTTTTTCTAGTCATCGATGTGATAACTTAATTAATTAAAAAAGATTAATTCATTTTTAGTCTTCAATGCTACCAATTGCAAAGAAAAATTTCCAATATAATAGATAATTTGAAATTTTTTCTGAAATTTAATCTTAAATTTTATTTAGAATTAATTTACATATAATAATGAATAATGCATTTTTTTAAATAAAGAAATACATGTGAATTAAAAAATAATTCTTATAGATATTATATTTACATATATAATATATTTTTATGTATTTTAATTAAATTAATTAATTTAATTAAAGTAATTTATTAAGTTGAAATTATTCAATGTTTTAAGGAAATCTAATTAATAGTTTCTTTAAAAAAAAAAAGAACTAGGAACTATGAAGTAAATGAGATAACAGATGATTTTTGTTTTATTTAAAACAAGTTTTACCTACATATTGCATTTTTTCTTTTACAACTTTCTATTACACGTTCCACTAACGCCTACATAAATAGTGAACTGTACTAGTAATATATGCATTCAATTAGTATTAGTCAACATATTTATTATTATTTATTATGACTTATAACACGAAATCACTTTTATATTTATGTTATAAACAGCAGCACAAAATATATGATAAGTTTCAGCTTTATATATAAAAATTTAAAAATTATAAAATTATATATTGTTATATATTTTAAGTTTTCATTCATTACTACGAAAAAATTATATTTACTATTTCATTACTATGAAAATTTATAAATTATATATTTTTATATATTTATAAATTATTTATTTTATTATATGTATAATATTATTAAAAAAAATTATATTTATAAAAATATATTTATATTTAAATTAGCCGCTATTTTTAATCAATTATATATAATGCGAAGTTTGCCGCGCCATTCGAAAGTATACGAAGTTTGTCGAAATCTTACTGCGATATAATTCGCCACAGTCGCTCGGCGAACTCCGGCGTGGAAGGACGGTTTTGTGTTTCTTGTGAACTATGTTCCACGCTGTATGTGGTGCTATTTGTGTACTCTTTTTTCAATTATATAAATCGGTGTCAAAAATAGTAATTAAATAAATAATTAATGTGTATAATCTAAATTATTTTGATCAAAACTGAATACTGAATAAAATCGAGTTTTTTTGTTCTTCGATTACAGTAACAACTCGACATCTAAAGTCACTTACGTAAGTCTTATGACTTTGATTTTAAATATCATAAAATATATAATGTATAATATATTTTAAGTATAATTGTTATATATTTTGTAATACATTATTCGAGAAGATTTTGATATTTTATAAAAATTCGAATAATTGATATCGATGGTCGAATTTTTATACTAACTTGCGCACACTATTATAATCGATATTTCGATCGAATTTTTTAATCGAGAGAAAGCTTGTTAATAAGATGGCATCTTATCACAGTTCTTTTTATTTTTTTTAAACGTTATTAAATGTAAGTAAAACAAAGTTGATAAAATGATAAATGATGTACACATATATATATTTATATGTGTATGTGTATGTGATGTGTGTATGTATAATATATGTGTAATATAGTATACGTGTAATATAGTATATGTATAAGAGTTGCAGTGTAAAGACAAGAACAAATTCAACAAATCAATAAAATTCTTATAAAAATTTGATGTATTACGATATATAATATTTTTTGAAATGAATACATTTCATGATAAAAACGCTTATCATGGCATCGTTAATCTTGATATGTAAATCTTCCCGCTTTAAATTTATATAACATCGATATTTATAAAGATAATAAGAAATATTTGAGAGAGAAAGAAATCGAATGAAATTACAAATAGTACAATAAAAAAAGAAATATTTGAATGCAGTTTTATTAACGAAATTATTAATAATAAAGATAAAGTAAGTCATTTATTAGATTAGACAAAAATGAATGATATTTTATCTATTTTTATTTTTTTTACGGATGTATTATACATAGTTATCGTAGCATAACAACTATACCATAGCATAACTATAACTCATGCACAATTATTTAGAACTACAATTCACTGACCTACATGACGCACATAATTTAGTTGGTCAGGTTTCGGGTTCCGTTGATCCTACGATCTTTTTTGTTCCTATTCGAATAATCGATTTCTGTCATTATACTCGATATAATTCGCATGTAAAGAGTGTTCGGTAAGCATTATTTTTATCCTGATGATTATTATTCTTTATGTTTATTTTAACTTGTGAAATTACATATAACATAAGTAATAAGAATATTATATATTTACAATTATTGAATGTTTTTTTTTTGTATAAAAAAAAAAAATATAATGTTTTATAAAGTTAGAAACATAATTTTTTAAAAATATTTGAATGGTTAAATTGCAAATTAATCTTAAATAGTATTGCATAAAAAATTATTCTATAAATAAGTAAAATATTATAAAGATTATATCTAGAGTATGAAATAAGAAGTTTGTAACTATTATTTTCTTTATGA